GATGGAGCAGAGCTTGGAAGAAACTGGAAGATATATATCTAGCATATTATGATCTGTGAAGTGAATGTTGCTATTGCTATTGTTCAGAATTTAGGTGCTTGGAAGTTGAGTAACTGGCTCAGGTTCATGGGTAGAAAACAACAGGTCTGGGATTTGCAGGCTCTTTGATCCATGTCAACTGAATGCCCATATGCATCTCCCAGACCCTGGGTGCCATTGAGTAGAAACACAGCTGAGAGTGGTTTGTAGGTACGAGAAAATGGAAAACCTGATGGCTTTATTCATGGAGGTGCATCACAGGTAGCTGCAAATCAGAGACACTGGATACTTAGTTATTTCCAGTTCTGTGTTGGTTGTCAAGCATGGCATGAATGAGCTGAATTGAACCCTAACTCTAAAATCCAGAATCTACACACACAGTTAAGGTGGTGAACAAAGTTAGGTATGGCAATTAATGAGTCACCATCTGCTAACACATCACACTTTGAGTGGGATTTAACATGGTTATGGGTTTCTTTGAACATTTTTTTTTCTCCTACCATATGTGCTTAAAGGATCCAAAAAGGAAACAGCTTAATCCAGGAATGTGAAAAAGAATGGTGACATTCTGCAGTGTGTCAGCGAAATGAGAAACTTACCAGGCGTCATCTATTTCAGGGGGTTTTGTGATATTTCATGGTTTGGGGCATCTAGGCAATGATGAAATGGCATTGCCAGAATAACTTACCACATGCCTAGCTTATAGAAGAGTACCATAGTGTAGGTGCTACTTCTTCTAAAATTGACCCTTGTCTTTGCCCTGGACCGAGTTGACACACATGCAGAAAATATCCTCTTTCTTTCAAGGGTCCAAGTTCACATCCCTAGCACTTGGCTTAACCATGCCCTTCCCAATGGAAAGGAATCTCTTTGTGCTGGATTTTCCTGCAGAATTCTGTCTGTCTGTCTCAGGTTATGTTCATCCCGGTTGTGCCTCTGCACAGCTTCTCAAATTCTTGTTTTCCTTTGCACTAATCTAAAGCTGCCTGAGGTGAAGACCATGTTTCATTCATCTTTGCATAATTCAGTGGCATCTACCCTAATAACTTATGATGGAGGTGCTCAATATGTATTTTTGGGTTAAAATGTATTTGCTTTGGAAAAACAGTCCAGAGTGATGACTTTAATATAGGATAACTCAAGTATTTGAATACGTGACATTGCAGATTGACAATATAACTGACTACAGCCTTACATTAAATGTGGAAAAGTTTCATATGACTAGGGAAAAAAATCTCTCACTCTTTATGAAAGCTAGTGTTTGGTTTATAAGGTCAGTTTTAGGATGCAAATGTTTGAACCAAAGAAGGATTCTGCTTTGAGCCTTGGCCCTTGGACAAAAGAGTGAAAGTCGTTTGGAATATTCATGGTTAGCATGCTTAGTTTAGCATAGGTATATCAATGAATCATTGGCCTGTGATACATAGAAATCTATGTGCATGTTGTATGTGTATTTTTAAAATAAGCAAATTCTTATTTTAAAGAACTCTAAAGAGAAATATGATGAACATTGTAAAGCACTTAGATATCACTATATGTTTGAACAGGACAAAAATACTGTAATTTTTTCTGAATATTTAAACATGGCCAACACAACATCTGTGTTGTTTACATGCTATAGGAATCCTGACAGTAACAGAGAAGGATTCTAGAGTAGTATAGTGCATAATTCTCTCAATCTTAAACAGTTGGAAGCTGCAGGATAACCTAATAAAAGTTCCATTCGAGGAAAATAGGTCTGACAACAGTACCCATGATAACAGTTGGATGATTTGATCCAGGAGTCATGGGGGTCAAGGAGAAAGCAGTAAGATTAATCCAAACATGAGGTGCTAGGGAAATTTACAAGTGGTAAAAACAGAGAGGAAGAAGTGGATATAAAGATATTTCAAAAGAAAAAAATTTTACAACATAAGTAACTCTAAAATATTGAGTTTAAGTGATTTAAGTTTTTGTCAACAACAGACAAAGAGAATTTGGGAAGGACAGTCAGTCCAGTGGTCATGTTGAGTTCAACACAGTGCAACACCCACTGGATATTCTATGACTTTATTCATGTCATTTTTAGGGCATGGTTGTTCTTTGAAAGATGAACTGGAATATTTGATCTGAAGCCAGTAAAGAGAAATTCAAGACAAGTGAAGAACAAGAAAAGTTTGAAATTGTCGCGGTCATAGCACAGTTAAAGGTAAGACATACCATATCCAGGGTTCTGCCTGGATATCTGACCTGCCATGATCCTGGTTGCATTTTGGGCTAAATGATAATCTGGCTTAGACTTCTGCTTCTACACTGTGGTAAATATCTAGTTTGCAGAAAGTCATTAGCTTATTTCAACAACATGACTTCAGCTTGTAGAGATATATTTTACAGTGTTCCAAAGTACCAAAACCTCAAGTGTATGAGTTAGAGATAAAAATCAAAGAGGTATATTCTGATTATAGTGCTGATGTCTCTGATACAGGCCTTTCACTGGCCATGCTCCCTGGTACTTTGCTCCTATTTCTGATACAGTCCTTGCCTTTTGTTCCATGTATCTTTTCCTTGCCATTGGGTTGACAGCAACTTGTAGATGGGAACCATATATTGATCTCTGTCTTCCTCACTCCCCTAATGGAGAGGTGGTTCATGGGTGATAGCCAATTGTGGGAAATATCCTAAGAGAAATTTAAATAACGTGGACGGAGCAACGTGCAGTTGCTGTAGCAAAGCTTGTGTACACATCATATGTCACCTCCCCGCTGATGCCGTTAACACTGCACCAGCAGAGGCAGAGCTCTCATTACATACTGCTGGCCCATGTTTGTAATGTGCGACATTTTTTTATGAAATGCTGTCAAGAGCAATCCATCATACAGTAAACTTTGGATTATATGCTGAGACTGGTTCTAAACAGAGACATATATGAACTTCAAGGATAATGCTACCCTTTCAGAAGGGATTGATCAAGGAGTTCTGGCTAGGAAAAAGGCAGCGCAGTTTGTTCTTAAAAGAACAAACTGTGCCAGTGTAAGGAGTTTCCTTCTGGGACACTCCAGTTAGGGAGAGAGTTTCTATTCAAAGATGATCAGGTGACCTGAATCGTGGCTGGATATTTATTTTTGTCCATTGGGTGAGGATGTGAAAAGGGGACAAGAACATGCCAAAGGTTTAAAACCCTTGGGACTTGTGAGGTTTATAATTTTATCTCAAGGAGGATAAAAGGATGCATGCAACTTAAGTGAATTTCAGATGTTAACTCACAGTTACCAGTACAGTATTTCCTCTATGTAAAAATAAAGATCTAGGATTTTACACGTGTTTTAGAATATAATAAAAGACTGCTTCTAAACTCAACATTTTTGTGTAAATCTAGATAAGATTCCTCTCATGAGCTCATTGTTTCCTGTGAAGGGGAATGCTCATAGGCGAGAACACTAAAATCGTAATTCTTTGTTTTCCTTAATTAGACGGGAGCTGACCATAGTTCTGCTGAAGCTGTGAGGAAATCCAAGCAATAATTCATGTTGTCAGGTCAGCAGAAATGGGGATGGGGTCTGTCATGACTGAAAGATTTGCTTAAGGGATCTATTTGAAAACTGAATCATTCAGAAGAGGTACATGTCCTTCATAGGAAAAACCCAAACAGCAATGAAAATCCCCCAAAGACTCTCCCTCCTCTCTTTACAGATGTCATTCCAGAGGAAATATACAAATCACATTAATACTAATTGATGTGGGACATTAATTAATAAGTCCCATTAAAGCACAAAGCAGTGACATTTAGTATCTAATGAAAGCCTCACAATCTCTTGATCATTAATATTTCATAGCATCAGAACACAGGAACTGCCACCGCGGAGCTCATGCGCGATGGTTTCCTGTCCCTGACACGGTCCCGAGGGCATTCGGTGGCATGAAGTTGTCACACCTCTGTTATATTGACTATCTATATACACCATTAACTCATAGGGCCCGGGTCCTGGTTTTCTGGTTTTCCAAAACGAGAATCTGCTACCATTCTTGGCGTTAACCTCTGTGGCCCCTGAATGTCCTGCCAGAGAAGAAGAGTTCAGACGTTGATTTTGGTGTGTAGCTGTTTCTTGACCCCTTCTGCCCACAGAGAAACTTGCATAGGAGAAAATCATTACTTTGATTTATTACCGGGGCTTTCTTTATTCAAAGGCAATAATCACTTCGCAGAGCAGGTGCCAGTGCAAGGGCTTATTGATCCTGTGTTCTTCTAGCAATTCCAGGAGGCCCTCACTCGAGAGGGAGGTGGAGGTGGTCAGCGAATAAGAAGTCCATCTCAGTCCTGGCTGTCGCGGTTGAGTCCAGTGACACTGGGTTCTTCTTTCGGGGAAAAGGCTTCCAGTGCAAGGCTGCCTTCAGCGAGCGAGGGGCAAAGAGCCAGACGCGCCCCTGCTAAGGGGTCGGGAGAGGAGGCTGCCTTCTCCAGGCGGCTGGAGGAGGGTCCGGCCCCAGCCCCGAGCCCGGCCACGCTGCCCAGCCTGGCTGAGAGTTGCTCCGGGTACCACACTGCACGCGGTGCACCATCAGCCAGGACGAGCCACAAGACAGCCTGATGGTGGCTGTCTTTTAAGGTCGTCGGCGGGGAGAGGACGGACCGGAGGCGGCGTGCTCAGGGGGAGGTGGAGAGACGCGCCGGGTTCGCGGGGATATAAAGGCTCCCGGAGCCGGGAAGCGGGGGGACCCCGGTGCAGAGGGGGGAGGCGACAGCAGAGTTGGGGAAAAGTATGGGGAAAGTGGGGACGGGGTTCAGCGGAGACGGGAGGGCGAGAGAAAAGTGAGCTCGGCGCAGAAGGGGTGCAAAGGCGAGGGGGACCCCGGGGAGGGGCGCGCGGCGGGGCGCGCGGGGAGGTGGCGAGGGGCGCGCGGGGCGGGGCGGGGGCGGGGCGGAGGCCGCGGGGCGGGGGCTGGAGGGGCTGCGCGGGGGGCGCGGGGCGCGGGGCGCGGGGCGCGGGGCGCGGGCGGGCGGGCGCGCGGGGCCAGGCGCATTGTGTCTGGCGGCGGCGCGCGAGCCATGGAGCCGCGGGCGCTGGTCACGGCGCTCAGCCTCGGCCTCAGCCTCTGCTCCCTGGGGCTGCTGGTCACGGCCATCTTCACCGACCACTGGTACGAGACCGACCCCCGGCGCCACAAGGAGAGCTGCGAGCGCGGCCGCGCCGGCGCCGACCCCCCGGACCAGAAGAACCGCCTGATGCCGCTGTCGCACCTGCCGCTGCGGGACGCGCCCGCCCTGGGGCGCCGGCTGCTCCCGGGGGGCCCGGGGCGCGCGGACCCCGAGTCCTGGCGCTCGCTGCTGGGGCTCGGCGGGCTGGACGCAGAGTGCGGCCGGCCGCTGTTCGCCACCTACTCGGGCCTCTGGAGGAAGTGCTACTTCCTGGGCATCGACCGCGACATCGACACCCTCATCCTGAAAGGTGAGCGAGCGGCGGGCGCGCCCCGAGTCCCACGACCCGGTGCCCGCGCGGGGCTCCCCACGGCCGCCTCCCCGCCGCGCCCGCGCCCGCCGCCCGCGCTGTCTCGCCTCGGTCCGCGCCGCCCTCTTTCCTCAGCCCTCTCTCCTTCTCCCCGTCCCCGCTCTCCTCTCCCGGTTCCTTCCTTCCAGGATTCCTCTCCTCCTGCTCTGCCCCTTCCCTCAGCCCTCAAGTCTCTGCTTTACCCTTTTCCGATTTTGCCTGCCGCTTCCTCCTCTTTCTCTGCCCTCTCTCTCTGTGCACCTGCCTGACTTGGAATGCATGTGTGGCTTTTCACGGGGAGCAGTGCAAAACTCAGATCATTCCCCCAAGTTGTCCTTTCTATTTAGAAATAAAACGCCCTTTGCAGGAAAAGTGATGCAAAGCTCAGAGGAGAGAGGAAAGGGCTTTCTCTAGGGTTGATGTTGGTATCGGCTCAATTGATGTGGTCAACCCAGCCGGCTGGGTTACCGAGGTGCAGGAGACTGGAGGAACGTTCCTCAAAGCGCCAGAAGTGCAGGGCTTGTGTGGTTTGGACTTCACACCCACACAGTCATTCGCTGGTGGAAACAGCGAACGACACCTAGAACACCCACATTTTCCAGCCTTCCCGATGACCGCCACCACCCTCCACAAGCTGTAGACAGGAACTGAAAAAATAGCCAAACCCTGTAAAGTGGGGTGGCCCAGACCTGAGCAGGGAGTCTATACTATCACTCTGTAGCATGATCCTGGCAGCTTATACGGTTGTTTTTATATTATTTGCCACTGAGTTGTAGAGCATCAGTTTGTTCTTCAGGAGTCTATGCAACACCTGGCTCCCATGCATATAATTAGATAGTTTGAAATCTTTTTGGTAATCTCATTCATGTAAAAAATATTGTGACAATCCTACTTGTGAAGCTCCCTTTAACTTTTAGAACTCAACCCTTAATAGAATTATTTTCCTCTGAGCAAAAAGCAAACAAACAAAAAAACCCCCACTCTCCTTGCACTCATTTTTCCAAAAAGAAAGTCCAAAGCCAGTACATTTCTAATATTTAGTCCAAAGTAAATGAACAGCTATATGTTGAATTGTAGTTTAAAATGGAATTACATAGAAAGGAGGAGGTTAATAATGCGTTGGTTTTCTCAGTCTTATTAGTTGGCATATTCCTTATTTCTCAAGCATGTCAACTTCCCCTTCCTGTGGGGAGCCCAGCTGGGGACTGCCATCCAAATCTGTCTGTACATGGAAGGACTCCAGCAGTGGGAGAATCGGATACAGTAATCTTCCTTTGGGAAGTGCATCTTCTGTCTTCTAACTTGCATCCGTATCTGATTTGTCCTCGTGAAGACACCGCATAATTAATTCTGATAGTAACATAGTACATGAACAATCTGTAAAAGCTGAATTTGGAGGCTCAATTGCAGAATGCTCATTTAGGCAAGGCAATTTTGAAACCGAAGCAGTACAGTCGGTCTTTGGAAATGACAACTGCCTTCCCTTATACTCTCTGTGCCTACAGTATTTGATTGTATGTAAATTGGATGTGGTGTAAGTTCTGAAGCCTCTGAACAGGGTCTAGCCCACAGCAGGAGAGCATGTCCCCCCCACCCCCGCCGCGCCCCCGCCCACTGCGGAACACTCTGGAAATGCCCTCACTAGCCACCTAAGGTGCCAAAATCCTAGACAGTCCAGAATCAGATGATCTTACAGGAGGAGGGGCTTTACAGGTCAATGGACTCAACTTTCTACCTATTATTCTAATGTCTTCTACAGTTTCTAATAAACGGTTGTGTAGCTCAATGCTTCAGTAAGACAGAGCTCAGATACTAGTTAAAAGAACTGGATTTTCTCTAGTCACACATGCATGTGTTAGATGAGAACAATCTCATGAATAATATGCATGGTATCTGGCTAATCTATACGGAACACTGAAGTGCTCTAGGTTTTAATCAGAAGATAAGGTCCCCTGCTGGGTCTCTCAGAATGGTCGTGTGTTCTCCCACAGAGGTCCAAGCTGCTTTCCAGTTTTGTTGTCTGGAGTGGCTGGAAAAGCATTGAGAACTTTAACAGTATTTGTTACTCACTCACCTTGGGTTTGTAGGTAAATCTTCTAGATCTTAGTTTCCTCATCTGGGAAATGAATGGATGACATTACAGCTTTAAAATTCTGATTCTGTGAATAATACGAGAAAGGAAAACATCACCAATACTTTCCTATCACAAACAGATGATTTTGGCACTTTACTAAGTAAACGTAATTACCTCTCTTTTGGCATCTGACATTAGTGGCTGTCGTGTGAATTTTTATAGAACTAGAAACACATTACATCTGATGTAAAATTTTTCATAACTGGAGTTTCAAATTGAAGGCTTACTTCCTCTCTAAATTACCTTTTTTGTAAATCCTATCATCATTTACAATTTTTAATTTTTAATTATTTTGAAAAGTTGACTGAGATGGGAGACTGAAGGCTTGAAGAGGCACAAGAACTTCATGGTATGTTTAGGAGGTGTCATTTTTTTTTTTTTTTTTGAATACCAGGAAGGGAATTGAACTCATAACCTTGTGCTTTCCAGGTGGGTGCTATGATGCTGGGCATCCTTGGCCCTGTTTAGTGAGTTTTTGAGATTAAAAACTCAAAGTTTTTAATTTGTGGACTGAAGGGTTGTTGAGATGAAAATATGGAACACATTCTTGCTATCAGAAATCTATTGTGAATTATTTATTTATTATTATTTATAATTTATTATTTATAATTATTATTTATTGTGAATTATTTGTATTTCCCAATAGTGGAATTAAGGCAAGTATTTCTGAGAGATGTATAAGAGATAAAGAATACAATGTGAACTATGTGAGATTCGCTATATTTAGACTTCCTAGTATTAATCTACTTAAGAGAAATCATGTAACCTAGGAAGGGATTGATCTCAGTGGAACAAACATTTGGAAGAATCACCAAATTCTAGTTTTCATTCTAATTCATTTCTTTGTATACCAGTCTTGCAAAGGTTAAGGCTGGATCTTCAATTTTCAATAAGAATGCAAGTCAAGCTACTGAATAAACATTTTAAGACCCTAGACTAGATTCCTATGCTGCTCCACCAGGCTGACAAAAAAAACCCCATTTATCAGAAGTTTAAGTATAGTTGTTATTCCAGTAGAAACTCTTAACAGTACTGTATCAGCCAATCAAAATTTCACTATCTGGCTCACCAAGGCAGCATGAGATCTTACCGAATGCTTTAGAGATACTTAGTTCATACTATACTTCTGTGGGTTTGTTAGCAATTCCATAAAATGCCCATTTGAAACCCACTACGTGTAAGGGTGATACTAGGAAGATTTTGGTTACCTATCTGAGCATTCTTTTGAGTTTGACTCTAAATTATTCTTCCACATATCCCCTTTTCTTGAAGCACTGATTTCTGATTCTAAGGAAGCTTTACTGCTCAGAGGAGGAGGTCTGAGAATATGTAGATGAAGCCGTGTTCCACCCAATATGGGAAGGTCTAGAACAGGGGCCATGTAGTAGGAACTTAAGTAGAATGGACTTAAAGCTGAGAGCTGCAGACTTCTGTATGCTGCAGATATATATGTTGGGGGGGTGTTTGAAAGAAGCCTGTAGATAACATAAAATGACAGAATGTTTTAAGACAAGTGGGTTTGGCATGGTTTTTATGTAAGCATCCCAGGAAATGCGAGAAGGTGACCTAAATGTCCCATTCATTCATTTATTCCTTCAATAAATGGATACTATAGTATCAGGTCTTGTTCTAGGTAAAGGAGATACAACTACAGTGAACCAAGTGAATCAAAATCCCTGCTTTCTGAGAGTTTATTCCAAGCAGTGGAGTTTGTATTTTCCAGTGGGTTATACAGTAACTACTTTTGGTAGGTTCAGGAAGATTGTTTGCCAAGAGTGGAGCACTCCTTGGGACCTTTGACAGCCCTCATGAGTAAATTGCAGAAAGTATGTTGGAAAGTGATGGTTTGCAGCATCCTCTGAGGGACTCCCAGACATTGTGTTCCAAGTGCAATGCATACGTTTCAGCTACTAGAAGAAAGTAATATAGAAGGACAAATGGATGGAGACTCAGTTGGAAACATAATTAATGCTTTTTTCAGTTACTGATGGCACTGTTTTGGGGATTTAAAAATTTTTTTTTTTTTTTTTATCAGTTCTAGGGGTCGAACTCATGACCACACACTTGCAAGGCAGGCACTTAAGCCACTGAGTTAAATCCCCAGCCCCGATGACACTGTTTTTAAAATGTAAACATGAATGAGGTCTTTGAACAAATGAAGAACTTTGGAGAAATCAATTTTGAGTAAGAATCATGTTTATGAAATTATATTAGAAGTTCCATATAATTGGAAGTTCCAGTTCTACAAGTTTTAATTTGAAAAAAAATTTAATTAAAAATTTCATTGAAAACATTTAACTACTTTTCAAATATGTATGCTTTGTGCATATAAATGAAATTCTACAGTTATATATTGCCTTAGTAAACAAAAGCAAAATTAATGCTGTAGTGTTTTGTTTCACAAAATTAAAAATGATAGAATTCAAAGATATGAAGATTATTATTCTGTTTGCCTAATGTTAACTTCATAAATCATTTGGGATTGGGTTCTTGAGACCGGAAATAAAATATGACCCTGTGGCTTCAAAAGCATTTTTTCCTCTAATGAGATAAACAGAGATATCAAAGACAGTGGCACATGAATACTTTGTCATTTTGCTCTCTGTAAAGAAGGGAGAGTAAGAGATTGGTAGGAATTCATTGGGTCTACTTGTCCCTGTGCTAATGATTTATCTGCTTCCCCTGTTGCTTATTCCCCGTGAAATTAATAGCCTGCACAGAACCCACCAAGTCCTACCTGACACAGAAATAGATTGATGATTTTCTTCAGCTCATTTGTGGGCCACAGTATCATTTGTGTTAGAATAATTATCTCCTGAGAGCAGAT